TTGCTTACTGGTGCTGGTGTTCGCCCAGGCTCGAGTATATCGCTCAGCTTCCGCCCCCCTGCTCTTCTCACCCCCTCTATCTCCCTCTGCAGGTCTTCTGCTGGCACCACGTTTTGCCAATACATTCTGAGCCTGTGTGAGTAGGCTCCCATCCATGTTGCGTCGCAGCTTACCCCTTTTCCCACCTGTCTGGTCACTCGCTCCCTTACCAGCCGTATGGGCTCACGCACATCTCCTTCCATGTCTAAATGCTCCAGCAGGTACGCCACCCTGCCTTGTTGAGCCTGCAGCCATTCCATCACTCTGAACAAGTCCTCCATCAGCTGTGTTCGCAGGTCTTGCTCACCCTTGCCTTTCCCAGCCCATGATACCCCTTGGCACTCCCACCCAGCCACTAACAGGTCCACGTGCCCCCAGCTTGCCACCTCAGCTTCTGTGATGGCCCTGACGTCGTTGACTCCTCTGCTCATTGCTGCCCTGATCACCTCTTCCTTCAACAGCTCCGGGAACTCGCTGTGCAGCTGCCATGCATGATGCTCCGCCATTTTCCTTGCTTCTGCCGCCTTCTCTACGTAAATCCACTGCTTCACTGCTATCCCGTTCCGTACCACCGCTGCCAAACCCGCCCCTATGCCCCCGAAGAGTTCCACCAGGCGGATAGGTTGCTGCCAATCGGATTGTTGGCTGGGCTCGTCCATGAAGTGCATCCTCGGCTGTCCACCCTGTTCCTTGTTCCTCGCGGTCTCCTGTGCCCCCTGCTTCGCTGCCCCCTCCTTCAGATCCGCCCTGTAAGCCCGCTTTGGCTCTGTCTTGACGAACTGCACCGGCAGCTGTCCCAGTGGCTCACCCTTCTTCCACCACCTGGTTCTGAATTCTACCGTCTCCTTCCAAAAGCAGATGGTCATGCCCAGTGCAAAGATCATCTCCGTGCCCACCAAAACGTCGAAATCTTCAGATTCTGAGATCCCACACCTGATCCTCACCGGTGTTTCGTGCTTCTCTCCTTTGAGCACCGTCAGTTCTATTGGAGTCCTTGTGCATGGCATCCACTTTGACTCTCCTCCCTCTGCTGTCATCACCAGCATTCCCTTCACTACATGTCTGTCCGGCGCCCACAGTCCCAGTTTTTCTGCCATTCCCCTCCCTAGTATCACGCTCTGCGCGCCCGTGTCTATAATAGCTGTCTTCGCCTTCTCCCCTTCTACTGACAGCGCACCTCCTTGTATCAGCAGCACTGAAGTCTGGCACGCCAGCCGCTCCTGTGGATGCCGTGCCGCTGTACACCTCTCTTCCTTCTCCTCCGGTTTCTGTCCTCTCTCTCGCTCCTTCCTTACCTGGTCCTTCCGTGCATCCTTTCCTCCGCTGCGTAGCCCCATCTCCTCCCTTCCTCTCCATGCCATGTATGCTGGCTGCTCCTCGTGTTCCACCTCATCCTTCGCTTTGCCTGCCCAGCTCATGAAAGCGGCCTCCTCATCTTGCTCTACATCCTCTTCCTTTTCCTTCCCCGCGTACATCCCCGCTTCTGCCTCGCGTCGTGGTCCCATTGCCTGCAGCTGAGCCTGCAGCCTGCCAATCTGCTTTTCCAGGTCCTCTGGTGTCCTCTTCGCCGCTCCTTCCCGCTGATAACACTCCCTTGCTGCATGCCCTCCCTTCCCACAGATTTCGCACTTCGGAGCTGTTGGGCATTCCCGCCGCCGGTGCCCTGGCTTACCACAGGAGTCGCAGTTCTTGCAGTCTCTGCGCAGGTGCCCTGGCTGCCCGCATCGGTGGCACGTTCGTGCGTCAGTCCTGCTATCCCCTCTTCCCCCTGCCCTTTCCTTTTCCTCTGGTATCATGGCTGCTGCCCATGTAGGTCCTCTGCCACGCTCCGCTGGTCGTTGCCGGTAGGCTTCAAGCTTCCTCTGGGCCATCTCCATCTTCTCAGCTAGCTCAAACACTTCATCAAGTGTCACTTCAGCCCCCATCTCATATACTTTCAGCCTCAGCCCGCTTCCCAAGGTACCCTCCAGGCCGTCCAGGAACTTGCTCACAAGCAGGCCCATGTCCGCACAGCTCACGTCCTCCGCTATGTTGACCAGCCGATTGTAGTAGGTGAGTAGTGACTCTCCCCGCCCCTTCCTAAAGTCTTGAAACTCTCTGATCTTCTCTACAGTGTGGCCTGGGAACTGCCGCTTCAGCCGCCTCAGAAATTCTTCGGTTGGGTCCTCCCCATACCTTCCTGCCCTCTCCAGTAGCTCATTCATCTTCATCCTGTATAACGTTTCTGCCTCCCCCTCCAGTGTGTTTGGCAGGCTCAGAAAGAAGTCCACTGCATCCATGCCGCCCCTCTCGCATCTGTACCGCACGTTGCCCACTTGCATGAGATAATTCTTCAGTGTGGGCCCCAATCGCTGGTCCCCAGAGAAGCGTGCTGGTACTTCCACCCTTGTGACCATGGCTGTACTTCCCTTTCCTTCTCCCCACGCCTCACTATATCTCTCTGCTGTCCTGCCTGCCGTTCCCCTCTCTCCCGCCCGCCGTATTCCCTCCCTCGCCTCTCTGGCTCGCTCCAGGCTGTCCATCAGCCCGCTGCCTCCCACTCTGCTGCTGCGCAGATCTTGTCCTCCTTCGCCGGCACGCCTCTCGTCATGTTGCCGATAACGCTCTGGCGAACGTGCCCCACCGCTTTGCCTTATATCCCTGCTCCGCTGCCGCGGTGGCGAGCGATGTCTGCCCCCGTGACTCTCCTCAAGCTGCTGCCGCCAATCCGGCGAGCGCGCCTCGCCTCTCCACCCTCCTCCAGGATACCGTTGCGCGTCAGGCGAGCGCTGGACATCTCTGCTCCTCCCATCATGATAGCGCTGCAGATCTGGTGAGCGTGAGCCCCTCTCGCTCCTCCCGCCGTGATACCTCCGCGGATCTGGTGAACGCGTGCTGTCTCCGCGCTCCTCCCCACGACGCTGCCGTGGATCTGGCAAGTGGTGACCACTTCCGCGCATTTCGTCGTGCCACTGCCGCACATCAGTCGAGCGGTAGCCGCCGTCGCGCCTGTCCTCACGCTGCTGCCGCGAATCTGGCGAGCGGTTGCCGCCGTCACGTCTGTCCTCGCGCTGCCGCCACGGATCTGGCGAGCGGTAGCCGCCGCCGCGCCTCTCGTCACGCCGCAGCCGCGGATCTGGCGAGCGATGGTCGCCGCCGCGCCTCTCGTCACGCTGCAGCCGCGGATCTGGCGAGCGATGGTCGCCGCCACGCCTCTCGTCACGCTGCCGCCGCGGATCTGGCGAGCGATGGTCGCCGCCGCGCCTCTCGTCACGCTGCAGCCGCGGATCTGGCGAGCGATGCCCGCCGTCGCGCCTCTTGTCTTGCTGCAGCCGCGGATCTGACGCATGCCTCTCGCCACCATGATTCTGGTCGTGGTGCTGATGGGGGGTCGGCGAGCGCGATCCACGGCTACGCCTCCTGTCGTCGTTGCCTTCTTCACCACGCGTCTGGTTCCGCGCACCATCCTTCCCGCCTATTTCTGCCGCGCCTGGCGCAGCCTCCTCGCTCGCCAGCATCGGACTGGCTTCCTTGACTTCGGCGTGCATATCGCGCTGCTCGCCCGCGCCTTCCTCATGGGCCTCGTCATCGCCCTTCGCTTCACTCTCGAGATCCATTTCCTGCGGCTTCTCCGCCATATCGACCTCGCCCTCCCCATCCACATCGAGATCTCCTTGCCGACCAGAGAATAGCTCCTCCAGGCCACGCCCGCGACTGCGATCTTCGCGACGGCGGTAACCTTCGTCCGGCGAGCGATACGCTCCCGTGTCGTGGCGATGTCCGCATTCGCCACCAGCCCCGTGGTGCGTATCCGTCCGCCACGGGTCACTTCCCATCCTGACGGACTCGGATCCGCCTCTTCCTTCGCGCTCTGCACCTTCTTCACGGCGATCTGGCGCGAGAGGGACCAGATCGGCGCGAAAAGCCGGCCTCCGCGGCGAGCGCTCAGGCCTCCGCGGCGAGCGGTCAGGCCTCCGCGGCGACCTCTCTAGCGAACGCCCGCGCTCTCGTGAGCGCTCCCGCCGCGAGCGATCACCCTCACGACGATCGTACTTCCTGCCATAACGCAACTCGTGCACATCCATGCTTGCACGCGCACCTTTCTGTTTGTTATGAAAGAGTGGTAACTCTCACCTCAAAGGTCCTCTCTGAGTGGTGTGCCACCTGTAGGCAAATCTGAGGTAACAACTGTCCACTATACGAAAGGATAACAAACAGAAAGCATTGTGTGTGTGTGTGAGAGTGAACTTACCTGTCCCTGGCTCGAGCCGTGCATTTCTCAATGTGCGGCTTGAGCCTGGGTTGGGTTTGTTCCCATTGGTCGCGAGGATTTCACCCCCTGGTGTTCTCCTACCAACTTCGCGTCAATTTCCCAGCCTCCCACCTACCCATCCTTGAGCCTGCATACAACAAATACAACACATTACTACACCCTTTCTACACCACAATCATACTGGCACCTTATATGCACAAACGTACATATTCGGTGACACAGGAGGCATGAAGAGCAGGCAGAGCGAAGGGTAGGGAGAGCAGAGCAGTGGCAGGCAGAGCAGTGGCAGGCAGAGCATTGGCAGGCAGAGCAGTGGCAGGCAGAGCTAAGGCACCAATGGTTATATGAATGAAGCGCAGCGGGTGGAGTGGGGATGGCACAGGCAATGTTTTGTGCCCCGATTTTCTTTGTTAGTTTCTGATCTTTATGTTCACAGTGAGGACGTTTGCTGGACTTGTGTTTGTAATAAACATCTTCCTGTAAACCTGTGCTGTGCTGCCTGCATTGCTCACAAAGCTGCGAAATTTCTTGAGAATCGTAGGGGAGCAAGGCAGATAGCACCCTCACATCTGTTCGAGCTTCTGTAGTTGGCTGATGGCGGCTGGCAGAGTGCCGGTGAGATGGTTGTTGGCCATGTAGCTGATGGTGCACAATGGCAATGGCAATGGCAATGGCATGGAGACACAGTGTAGGGCCTTAGGCCATGCGGCTAAAGTAGCTGACGGGCAATGGCAATGGCAGGGAGACGGTTGGGAGGGAGGCAGTACAATTGTGACGAGAGGGAGACATTGTAGCTGACGGGCAATGACAATAGCAATGTCAGGGAGACAGTGCGATCAGAAGCAGCACATGCAATGCAAGAGCAGTGCGGGCTGATGCAGGAAAGCACCATGGGGCAGAGGTGGGAACACTTAAGGGCACTTAGTAAGGGGGTCCCTTGACCCTTGAGGCTTACAGGTATTTCAGATTCGTCGTGGTGAATATGGCTGATGGGATGGTGCCTGTCAGCTGGTTGTTGTTGAGTAAACTGCAGGACATGGTAAGGGGTGTATTGGTTGAGTCATGAGAAAAGTGCTGAATGCATAGGCTGCCTGTCACTGCAAAGGCTCGAACATGACTTTTGTACACGACGGTGAGGCAGGGAGAGAGGCAGTTGGTGACGGCCCTGTTGTGGCACAAGAAGAGAAGGCTCACCCACATGCCCTCGAGGGTGGTGAGGGTGGAGATGGAGTCGGGAATAGCAGGCAGGCAGGCAGGCAGAGGCAGGGAGGCAGGGAGGGAGGGAGGGAGGGAGGCAGTTGGGGACAACCCAGTTGTGGCACAAGAAGAGAAGAAGGCTGACATGCCGTCGAGGGTGGTGAGGGAAGAAATGGAGTCGGGAATAGCAGGCAGGCAGGCAGGCAGGCGGGCAGGAGGGCAGGAGGGCAGGGAGGAGAGTTGGGGACAACCCAGTTGTGGCACAAGAAGAGAAGAAGGCTGACATGCCGTCGAGGGTGGTGAGGGAAGAAATGGAGTCGGGAATAGCAGGCAGGCAGGCAGGCAGGCGGGCAGGAGGGCAGGAGGGCAGGGAGGAGAGTTGGGGACAACCCAGTTGTGGCACAAGAAGAGAAGAAGGCTGACATGCCGTCGAGGGTGGTGAGGGAAGAAATGGAGTCGGGAATAGCAGGCAGGCAGGCGGGCAGGAGGGCAGGAGGGCAGGGAGGAGAGTTGGGGACAACCCAGTTGTGGCACAAGAAGAGAAGAAGGCTGACATGCCGTCGAGGGTGGTGAGGGAAGAAATGGAGTCGGAAATAGCAGGCAGGCAGGCAGGCAGGCGGGCAGCCGGGCAGGAGGGCAGGGAGGAGAGTTGGGGACAACCCAGTTGTGGCACAAGAAGAGAAGAAGGCTGACATGCCGTCGAGGGTGGTGAGGGAAGAAATGGAGTCGGGAATAGCAGGCAGGCAGGCGGGCAGGAGGGCAGGAGGGCAGGGAGGAGAGTTGGGGACAACCCAGTTGTGGCACAAGAAGAGAAGAAGGCTGACATGCCGTCGAGGGTGGTGAGGGAAGAAATGAGTCGGGAATAGCAGGCAGGCAGGCAGGCAGGCGGGCAGGAGGGCAGGAGGGCAGGGAGGAGAGTTGGGGACAACCCAGTTGTGGCACAAGAAGAGAAGAAGGCTGACATGCTGTCGAGGGTGGTGAGGGAAGAAATGGAGTCGGAAATAGCAGGCAGGCAGGCGGGCAGGCGGGCAGGAGGGCAGGGAGGAGAGTTGGGGACAACCCAGTTGTGGCACGCGAAGAGAGGAGAAGGCTCACATGCCCTCGAGGGTGGTGAGGGTGGAGATGGAGTGGGGAATCGACCCTGTGAAGTTGTTGCTGCTGAGATCTCTGAGCCACAACACAAGTGAAGGAAAAACAAGACCGAGCAATGCGGGAACGTATAGCACAAACCCCATGGTGCTGGGAACAAGATTGAGCAAGTGATGTTTAGAGTGGGACAAGAACGAACAGACTGTCTCAGAGTTGGAGGCTTACTTACATTTCTACACATCTAACGTTCCAGCGTGAGAAGTCAGGTAAGGAGCCCGTGAAGCCATTTCCGCCCAGGCTACTGCACGGTGCAAGAAGAGCGAATGAGACTTCCAAGGGTATAAAAGCTAAGCATCTAAGGGGAAAAATGGCACCAGGCACACACAGTAATGGTAGCACCCACCCAGTCGCTGCCCTACTTACAGCGTTCTAAGAGAAGTTGTGACACTAAGAGTCCCTGGGAGTTCCCCTGAGAGGAAGTTGTTAGCTATTTCTCTGTGTTGCGATGGAGGCGTATAGTGAAGGGGCTGAATGCAGCAGTCTGAAACTCAAGCAAACCGCCAAAGCACATGCATGCATCGTGGGCCTCAGAGAGACAGGCAACAAGCTTGGGGTGGAAAGTTGAATACTTGGGCGATGCAGGGAAGGGAAACACTCACGAATCAAGTAGTATGCATGTGGATTCCTAATCTAGTATGCGGCAGCGAAACAGAGTAATTGCTGAGTACCATATGACATGAGGACAGTTGAGATCGGTTTTGTAAGCACCGTTTGATTGAGAGAAGGAATTGAACGCACACCAAGGTGGAAAATGGAAGAAATTATCTTTTTGAAACAAGTATAACGGAGCTACTTACAGCGAGGACAACATGGGTAGCCGAAGCAGGTCGGATGGGATGGTTCCATGGAAATTGTTGTCATTGAGATTTCTGGAACCGGGCAATGGTATCAAGAACCACAACATGACACCGTCTTTCAAGCAGACTTGCCAAAGAAATCCTCTACTCTATTCCGAGTCATTGCTTGCCCTACTTGGCGATTGTTCCTTTTTTTGTTCGTATCCCATCCCTTTTAGTCCTACTGCACTTCCAAGGACAGCCCTGAAAGTTTTAGAAGCTTGTGCGCCCATAACCACAAGCTGACTCACAAGTCCCCTTGATAAGCCTAAAGAAATTCTGTGCTGTATCAAGCAGTTGCGCCACTCACATATCTCCCAGGTTGACATGCTTGGCCAATTCGCGGGGGATGGTCCCTGTGTGACTGTGTTGTTGCCAAAGTTGAATCACAACAAGTCTCCTTGATGAACCTGATGGAATCTGTGCAGTATCAAGCAGCAGTGCCACTCACATATCTCCCACGTTGAGAAGCTTGGCCACTTTGCGGGGGAGAGTCCCTGTGAAACTGTTGTTGCCCAAGTTCCTGCCATGGCCATTTCAATTGCCACATTATTTGCTCCGATAGTTGTTTCAGGGTGAAAAGGCGGGAAGCACAATACGTCATATCTCAAAGGAAATAGAGGCATTTGCTCCATCAGTGCAGCATGAGCAACAGGTCGACCCGACCGAGGGTTTTGACCAGGTTGAGTCACTCATTTGGAGGGCTTGACCAGATCAGATCAGCCTGACCCAACCTGACCTGACCCAACCTGACCTGACCCAACCTGACCCGACCCAACCAGACCTGACCCAACCTGATGTGACCCAATCTGATCTGAACCTTGAGTCGGGATTTTCCAGCTGGTCGACCCAACCTGACCCTGGGTATATGCCGAACCAACCCGACTCTAGGGCTGGGTGGTTTGGGATAATTTTTAGGCCTACTCGAGCCGACCTGACTAAAATTGGACCCAGTCAGTCAGGTCAGGTCGGGTCAGGTTGGGTCGGGTTGACACGTTGCATGCACATGCCTAAGTGCAACGCAACTCGTTTTTGTGCGTGAATGTGTTACAAAAATACAAGGGCCACGTATGGACGTGTTACGTGTTCAGAGAGAGCCACGTACAGGGATACAAGGCTCTTCTGGCGCAAAATAAACTCGGGAAAGGTTCCCGTAAATCGGTTGTTCCCAATGTCCCTGTATAGGGTCCAAGACACACACAGGGTGGGTGGGTGGTGGGGGGGGGGGGGAGACGATGAAACAAATACATGGAGAGTGGAGCATGGGAACGAATGCCTTCAGGCGCTCATATACCATGAATTTAAAAAGCACTGCCACCAGAAATTATTATAAAATCATGCACCAAACTACTCAGGTGACCTTACAATAGGGCCAGTCATTACGCTAACTGTTGCTCGATGCCACCGACCCGTATAGGTGCGATAAAAGGGGTTGATTGGTGCACTGCACTGATAAGGTGAGAGATGGATCGAGTGCACTCACACGCGTGTGAGGCCACTGATTGCCGTTAAGGACGCTGGAAGCACACCAGAGAAGTTGTTGGTATGAAGGCGTCTGCAAAGCAGCACCAGAAAAAAACATCTCAGGTGTTGCGGGCAGCCAAAGTGGACCAAGGGAAGCGAGGGAAAGCAAGGTCCCCTCCAATAGGAGGCCGCTGAGGTGGCGAAGAGGGGAGAACACTAACATGGTATCAAGCCATGGCATCTGAGTCACCCCATCAAGGCCTGACCTGAGATTGTTGAGAATTCGCAAAAACCGCCACTCACATGGTATCAAGCCATGGCATCTGAGTCACCACGTCAAGGCCTGACCTGAGATTGTTGACCGCAATGTCTCTGTCACGCGGAGCGCGCGCGCACGCACACACACACACACACACACACACACACACACACACACACACACACACACACACACACACACACGCACACACGCACGCACACGTGTGAGAGGCAACAATCACACTGCTCCTGGGAACACAGCAACCAGTAACATGTGAGGCCATGCAACCGACTCTGCAAGCAGCCAGTAACATGTGAGGCCATGCAACCGACTCTGCAAGCAACCAGTAACATGTGAGGCCATGCAACCGACTCTGCAAGCAACCAGTAACATGTGAGGCCATGCAACCGACTCTGCAAGCAACCAGTAACATGTGAGGCCATGCAACCGACTCTGCAAGCAACCAGTAACATGTGAGGCCATGCAACCGACTCTGCAAGCAACCAGTAACATGTGAGGCCATGCAACCGACTCTGCAAGCAACCAGTAACATGTGAGGCCATGCAACCGACTCTGCAAGCAACCAGTAACATGTGAGGCCATGCAACCGACTCTGCAAGCAACCAGTAACATGTGAGGCCATGCAACCGACTCTGCAAGCAGCCAGTAACATGTGAGGCCATGCAACCGACTCTGCAAGCAACCAGTAACATGTGAGGCCATGCAACCGACTCTGCAAGCAACCAGTAACATGTGAGGCCATGCAACCGACTCTGCAAGCAACCAGTAACATGTGAGGCCATGCAACCGACTCTGCAAGCAACCAGTAACATGTGAGGCCATGCAACCGACTCTGCAAGCAACCAGTAACATGTGAGGCCATGCAACCGACTCTACAAGCAGCCAGTAACGAAGGCCCTGCAAGGCACAGCAATGAAGAACCAACCGAGTAACATGTGAGGCTGCGGACTTGATTCTGCTGTGCAGCAGTTGTGGCTCAGTGGGGGCAGAGAGAGGGAGAAAGGGGGAGAGCAGCATGGGGAAAGTATCAGAGAGCTCTCATGCCAGCGAGGCATGTGAGGGCAGGGAGGGAGAGGCAGAGGGGACAGGGTTTAGGAAGAATGAGGGGGCACAGTATGGGGAGACATACAGAGCACTCATGGCAGTGAGGCGTGTGAGGGCAGGGGTAGGAAGAAGGAGGGAGCGCAATATGGGGAGAGACGTACAGAGCACTCATGGCAGTGAGGCGAATGAAGGTGCTGGGGATGGCTCCTGTGAGCTGATTGTAGGATAGCTGACTGCAGTCAGGACAGCCGGAGAGGAACGTTGGGGAGTGCAGATGGCAGCGGAATGAAAAGGGAGTGAGAGAAGAAATGTGCTGGGGATGCCCCCTGTGAACTGATTGTGGGATAGCTGACTGCGTGCAGCCAGGGCAGCAGAAGATGAATCATTGCAGATGGCAGCGGAACAGAATGGACTTTTGAGGACGTCTTAAAAGTCAGGAATCATTGCAGGTGGCAGCAGGAATAGAAAGGGAGTGACACAAGTTTTGAGAAATGGAGCTGGACAGAGACACCGCAGGTCGAGTTGGCTTTTGAGTCGACTCAAAAGTCAACTCGGAGAAATGGAGCTGCACAGAGAGTGCATGTTGGTTGGCCTTTGAGTCGACTCAAAAGTCAACTCGGAGAAATGGAGCTGGACAGAGAGTGCATGTTGGTTGGCCTTTGAGTCGACTCAAAAGTCAACTCGGAGAAATGGAGCTGAACAGAGAGTACAGGTTGGTTGGAGGAAAGGCCATGGGGCGAGTAAGCATGGAGGTGTGAAGATGAGTGCGCAAAAATGGGCATGCACGGGGGATCTCACAGTTGAGAGAGGTTGGGCAGTGCTGCAAGGTGAGGTGGGATGGGTCTGCTCTTGAGTCGACTCAAAGGCAAGCATGGGGGTTCTCACAGCTGAGAGAGGTTGGGCAGTGCTGCCAGGTGTGGTGGGATGGGCCCACTGAAGGTATTGTAACCGAGTGATCTGAATAGACAGACAGGGAAAGAGAGGCGCACAGAGAAATAGGTGACCTTTGGGTCGACTCAAAAGTCACCTCAGTGCCAGGTGTGGTGGGATGGGCCCACTGAAGGTATTGTAACCGAGCGATCTGAATAGACAGACAGGGAAAGAGAGGCGCGCAGGACAGGAGAGGCAGAAAGAGAGAGGTTGGGCAGTGCTAGGTGTGGTGGGACGGGCCCATTGAAGGTCTTATAGCCGAGCGATCTGGATACGCAGAGGATTTTGTAGGCGGCTTTTGAGTCAACTCAAACGCCACTTAAGCCGATCGATCTGGATACGCAGACAGGGAAAGAGGCGAGCAGAATATTGGTTCAATGATTGGGAGTTCCCCTGAAGGAGAGGAATGATGATTGTGAAATAGGTAAGAGTGCGGTTAAGGATGTGAAATCACGAGGACGTATTCAGGGCTTTCCGCTTGGACGGTTGAAGGCATCAAGGATGACAGACAGAGGCAATCAACGGACTGCTGAATAGCCGTGCCTTTCCGCAAAAGCAGCTGGACCCGCGACGGGAGAGCTCCGAGAACAAAAACGAATGCAATGAATTATGAAATTGTGCTGATTTTTTTAAATGTGCTGATCTATGAAGGTACAGGAAGTGGAAGTGCTGAGGTTAGGCTTGGAAACGTGGGACAGGGGGCAGAGGGAGGAGTAACGTACATTGACTGGATGCTGGTAGCGAATACGGGGGGTATTGTGCCAGACAGCTGATTCCACGAGAGGTCTCTGCAGTAGAAGAAGGGAAGGTGGAGGGGGAGGAAGGGAGGGGGGGAGGGGGGGAAGAACAAATGGTGCACACTGAGTGAGGAACAGATGGCCAAGGGAGGGATAAAGACAAGGACAGGGTGAGTTGGGGTGAGATGATAGGAATCGGGGAGGACACCTGACACTTACATTTCAGTTAGGCCTGTGAGGGCCGAGAATGTTGTGGGAATGGTTCCTTGGAATTTGTTGGCTCCCAGAGACCTGAGACACAACGGAGGCGAACGAGTGTGTTGTTCTCAGGGGCACGGGTTTCAGCACAGTGTGATGTGCCGAGCATGTGGTGGGAATGGGTTCTTGGTCCCGGAGATGTGATGGAAAAGGGAGGCGAAACAAGGTTGTTTGAGGTTGATTTTGAGAATTCTCGTTGTTTGAGGTTGATTTTGAGAATTCTCTTTGTTTGAGGTTGATTTTGAGAATTCTCGTTGTTTGAGGTTGATTTTGAGAATTCTCTTTGTTTGAGGTTGATTTTGAGAATTCTCGTTGTTTGAGGTTGATTTTGAGAATTCTCGTTGTTTGAGGTTGATTTTGAGAATTCTCTTTGTTTGAGGTTGATTTTGAGAATTCTCTTTGTTTGAGGTTGATTTTGAGAATTCTCTTTGTTTGAGGTTGATTTTGAGAATTCTCTTTGTTTGAGGTTGATTTTGAGAATTCTCTTTGTTTGAGGTTGATTTTGAGAATTCTCTTTGTTTGAGGTTGATTTTGAGAATTCTCTTTGTTTGAGGTTGATTTTGAGAATTCTCTTTGTTTGAGGTTGATTTTGAGAATTCTCTTTGTTTGAGGTTGATTTTGAGAATTCTCTTTGTTTGAGGTTGATTTTGAGAATTCTCTTTGTTTGAGGTTGATTTTGAGAATTCTCTTTGTTTGAGGTTGATTTTGAGAATTCTCTTTTTTGAGGTTGATTTTGAAAATTCTCAAAATCAACCTCAAACAAAATGGGTCCTTGGTCCTGAGATCTGATGGAAAAGGGAGGCGAAACAAGGTTGTGTTGTTCATAGGGCCACTGGGATGACAAACATAAGATAGGATGACATGGCAAGCAGTGACTCACAGCTTCTGCAGGTTGACCAGATTGGTCCAGGTCTTGGGCAAATAGCCTTCCAGGTTGTTTCCTAAGAGGGACCTGCAAAGCGTGGAAGCAGACAACACATGGACGCTGCTGACGTCAGGATTAGGGCAGATCTCGCTCGCGAATGCTTTTTACGACATAGACATGGCAATGCAGAAAGGATACAGAATCCCAGGGGTCACCCTGACTCTGCTACTGCAGCCCTTCGAATTCGAAACATGAGTCAGGGTGACTTTTGAGGCGCCTCAAAAGTGCTACTGCAGCCCTTCGAATTCGAAACATGAGTCAGGGTGACCCCTGGATACAAAATCTTGCACAAATTGTCATGTTCTCAGCGGTATTTTTGTTGCCGAACTTTCGCCAAAACAGGCTGCTACATTTGCGAGTACTGTATTGCTTTACTTATGATGCATCGCAATTGATGCTAGAATGGTGCTGATAATAATCGTTTCTGAGCCAATTGTCGAGCTCAATGTTTGTTTAAGAGTGTCTTTGGATGTATGCAACTTTGTCAACTATATGTGGCAAAAACAGATTGTAATGTGCCGTAACGAATGTCATCGCCTTTCAGTTTGAGTAAACGCTCCCACGCACGCTCAACTCACAGACTGGTGAGAGCTGAGAGCTGAGAGATGTCGTCATTCAGCAATCGCCCCTGCCGGTGTGGATCGTCCGTCTCCACAGTCCTGCGCGCAAGGGGAAGGCCGGCAAGAGACCGCACTGAGTTGACTATTGAGTCAACTTAAAAGTCAACTCCATCCTAACCGGTGTGGTGGGGGTTGTCTGACTCCACATTCCTGAGCGTGCGCAAGGGAAAGGCCGGCAAGAGTTGTCGCAATGAGACAAGCCCAGTCACATCACAGGCATGCCATGGTGGCACATGTGTTTATCCTTGTGCCTCATGGGGGATGTCTTTTGAGGCGCCTCAAAAGGCAAGAGTTGCCGCACCGAGACAAGCCCAGTCACAGCCATGCCATGGTGGCACATGTGGTTATTCCCGTGCAAACAGAAGTGTTTTGAGACGTCTCAAAACGCCATGGTGGCACATGTGGTTATTCCCGTGTAAACAGAAGTGTTTTGAGACGTCTCAAAACGCCATGGTGGCCCATGTGGTTATTCCCGTGTAAACAGAAGTGTTTTGAGACGTCTCAAAACGCCATGGTGGCACATGTGGTTATTCCCGTGCAAACAGAAATGTTTTGAGACGTCTCAAAACGCCATGGTGGCCCATGTGGTTATTCCCGTGCAAACAGAAGTGTTTTGAGACGTCTCAAAACGCCATGGTAGCACATGTGGTTATTCCCGTGCAAACAGAAGTGTTTTGAGACGTCTCAAAACGCCATGGTGGCACATGTGGTTATTCCCGTGTAAACAGAAGTGTTTTGAGACGTCTCAAAACGCCATGGTGGCACATGTGGTTATTCCCGTGCAAACAGAAGTGTTTTGAGACGTCTCAAAACGCCATGGTGGCACATGTGGTTATTCCCCGTGCAAACAGAAGTGTTTTGAGACGTCTCAAAACGCCATGGTGGCACATGTGGTTATTCCCCTTGCAAACAGAAGTGTTTTGAGACGACTCAAAACGCCATGGTGGCACATGTGGTTATTCCCGTGCAAACAGAAGTGTTTTGAGACGTCTCAAAACGCCATGGTGGCACATGTGGCTATCCTCGTGCCTCGTGGGGGATGTGGCGGGTGAAAATGGTGGAAAATTCGACCGGTGATTGACGGGTGCGGGTAATAGCTCACAGGTAGTGAAGGTTGGAGAGGTGAGTAACCCAATCGGGAAACTCGAGAGCAGGAAGATAGTTTAAGCCCCTGCAAGGAAGGAGGCAACAGCAGGGGGAAAAAACGATTTCTTTTTAGCCGAATTTACCGTAAAACACGGTATCGAATTAAATTGCTGTCTAAGAACGGATTGATACAGTTTCAGGTGATAATTTTGTCTGGTCATAGAACAAATGGCCATTTTATACCCAACTTCGGGTCAGAATCCCAAGATTGTAAACCCAATCTGGCACTTGGGTGTCGGGTGGGTAGTTTGTATCCCGAATTGCTGTCGGGTCGACAGAAATTCGGGTCGAGTGATTGATCCTGGGGAAGAAACGCACGCTGTTGCTTGCTTGTAGGGTGAGGGGTTGGGGGGGGGGAAGGGAGGGAGCAAGCGGAGAGGGGGGGAGAGGAGAGGGGGGGAGGGGGAGCAGGGTGCTTCAAGTTTCACTGCAGGAGGAAGGCAGGAGCAGGTCACATAGACAAGCTAAAAGCAGAAATATGTAGTCATGTCCGGCTTACAGGCCAGTGAGGGCAGTCATGTATTGAATCTCTCTGGGTATCTCCCCTGTGGCGCTCCTGAGCCCATTCAGCTCCCTGCGTGCGTGCACGTGTAATAAGCAAAGGAATGAACACAACGCAGTAAGCAGATGACTCTTGAGTCGCCTCAGAATATCGAATCTCTCGGGGTATCTCCCCTGTGGTGCTCTTAAGCCCATTCAGTTCCCTGCGAGCATGCACGTGTAATAAGCAAAGGAATGAACACAACGCAGTGAGCAGTCGACTCTTGAGTCGACCCAGAATTGAATCTCTCGGGGTATTTCCCCTGTGGCGCTCCTGAGCCCATTGAGTTCTCTGCGCTCATGCACACGTGTGATAAGCAAGAATGCATGAAGTATCAATGCAACTTGCGAGTACTTCGAGGCGCCTCAAAAATCGTCTAAGCCCATTGAGTTAGCTGCGCTCATGCACACGTAGTAAGCAAGAATCGATGCACTATCAATGCCACTTGCGAGTATTTTGAGGCATCTCAAAAATCGTCTAAGCCCATTGAATTCGCTGCACTCATGCACACGTAGTAAGCAAGAATAAATGCGCTGCCCTGCCACTGCTAGTTAGGGGATGGTCGGTACATGAAGCCAAATGGTGACATGCAGGTTAAGTATACGAGCATGCTGCGAGCAAGATATGTTCTTGCGCTGCAGCAATGCTTACAGCTGCTGAAGCTTCCCCAGGTGAGAAAGAATGTGCAGGGAGGACAAGTCCCCTGTGAATGCCGTCAAGTATTCTAGACTCCTGAATGGTGAGAGGGAAGGGAGGGTGATAAGAGAGGACTGAGGGTGATAAGAGAGGACTGAGGGTGATGGGAGGGAAGTGAGGCATGGGAGAAGCCATGGGAAAGAAAGCATAGGAGCATGGGACTTTGCATAAGATGCTGGAGCGATGTGGCATGCAGCAGAGCAAGGCTGGATGGCAAAGAGGAATGCAGAGTGACAATGACACGGCTTGTTTGCATGGTGACGGGAGGGAAGTGAGGCATGGGAGGGAAGTGAGGCATGGGAGGGAAGTGAGGCATGGGAGGGAAGTGAGGCATGGGAGGGAAGTGAGGCATGGGAGGGAAGTGAGGCATGGGAGGGAAGTGAGGCATGGGAGGGAAGTGAGGCATGGGAGGGAAGTGAGGCATGGGAGGGAAGTGAGGCATGGGAGGGAAGTGAGGCATGGGAGGGAAGTGAGGCATGGGAGGGAAGTGAGGCATGGGAGGGAAGTGAGGCATGGGAGGGAAGTGAGGCATGGGAGGGAAGTGAGGCATGGGAGGGAAGTGAGGCATGGGAGGGAAGTGAGGCATGGGAGGGAAGTGAGGCATGGGAGGGAAGTGAGGCATGGGAGGGAAGTGAGGCATGGGAGGGAAGTGAGGCATGGGAGGGAAGTGAGGCATGGGAGGGAAGTGAGGCATGGGAGGGAAGTGAGGCATGGGAGGGAAGTGAGGCATGGGAGGGAAGTGAGGCATGGGAGGGAAGTGAGGCATGGGAGGGAAGTGAGGCATGGGAGGGAAGTGAGGCATGGGAGGGAGTGAGGCATGGGAGGGAAGTGAGGCATGGGAGGGAAGTGAGGCATGGGAGGGAAGTGAGGCATGGGAGGGAAGTGAGGCATGGGAGGGAAGTGAGGCATGGGAGGGAAGTGAGGCATGGGAGGGAAGTGAGGCATGGGAGGGAAGTGAGGCATGGGAGGGAAGTGAGGCATGGGAGGGAAGTGAGGCATGGGAGGGAAGTGAGGCATGGGAGGGAAGTGAGGCATGGGAGGGAAGTGAGGCATGGAGGGAAGTGAGGCATGGGAGGGAAGTGAGGCATGGGAGGGAAGTGAGGCATGGGAGGGAAGTGAGGCATGGGAGGGAAGTGAGGCATGGGAGGGAAGTGAGGCATGGGAGGGAAGTGAGGCATGGGAGGGAAGTGAGGCATGGGAGGGAAGTGAGGCATGGGAGGGAAGTGAGGCATGGGAGGGAAGTGAGGCATGGGAGGGAAGTGAGGCATGGGAGGGAAGTGAGGCATGGGAGGGAAGTGAGGCATGGGAGGGAAGTGAGGCATGGGAGGGAAGTGAGGCATGGGAGGGAAGTGAGGCATGGGAGGGAAGTGAGGCATGGGAGGGAAGTGAGGCATGGGAGGGAAGTGAGGCATGGGAGGGAAGTGAGGCATGGGAGGGAAGTGAGGCATGGGAGGGAAGTGAGGCATGGGAGGGAAGTGAGGCATGGGAGGGAAGTGAGGCATGGGAGGGAAGTGAGGCATGGGAGGGAAGTGAGGCATGGGAGGGAAGTGAGGCATGGGAGGGAAGTGAGGCATGGGAGGGAAGTGAGGCATGGGAGGGAAGTGAGGCATGGGAGGGAAGTGAGGCATGGGAGGGAAGTGAGGCATGGGAGGGAAGTGAGGCATGGGAGGGAAGTGAGGCATGGGAGGGAAGTGAGGCATGGGAGGGAAGTGAGGCATGGGAGGGAAGTGAGGCATGGGAGGGAAGTGAGGCATGGGAGGGAAGTGAGGCATGGGAGGGAAGTGAGGCATGGGAGGGAAGTGAGGCATGGGAGGGAAGTGAGGCATGGGAGGGAAGTGAGGCATGGGAGGGAAGTGAGGCATGGGAGGGAAGTGAGGCATGGGAGGGAAGTGAGGCATGGGAGGGAAGTGAGGCATGGGAGGGAAGTGAGGCATGGGAGGGAAGTGAGGCATGGGAGGGAAGTGAGGCATGGGAGGGAAGTGAGGCATGGGAGGGAAGTGAGGCATGGGAGGGAAGTGAGGCAT